CACACTGCTGTAACACACTGCTGCAACACACTACGACACACTGCTGTAACACTGCAACACACTAGTGTAACACACTACTGTAACACTGCAACACACTGCTGTAACACACTGCTGTAACACACTGCTGTAACACTGCAACACACTGCGGTAACAAACTACCGTAACACTGCAACACACTGCAGTAACAATGCAACACACTAGTGTAACACACTACAACACACTACAGTACGACTGCATCACACTACCGTAACGCTGCAACACACTGCTGTAACACACTACGACACATGGGTAAACATTACTGTAACACTGCAACACACTATAGTAACACTGCAACACACTAGTGTAACACACTACAACACTACTGTAACACACTGTTGTAACACAATGCTGTAACACACTGCTGAAACACACTACTGTAACACTGCAACACACTGCAGTAACACTGCAACACACTGCAGTAACACTGCAACACACTAGTGTAACACACTACAATGAACTACTGTAACACACTACGACACACTGCTGTAACACACTGCTGTAACACACTACAACACACTACTGTAAGACTGCATCACACTACCGTAACACTGAAACACACTGCTGTAATACACTGCTGTAACACTGCAACACACTACTGTAACATTGTAACACACTGCAGTAACATTGCAACACACTAGTGTAACACACTACAACACACTGCTGTAACACTGCAACACACTACTGTAACACACTAGTGTAACACTGCAACACACTAGTGTAACACACTGCAACACACTAGTGTAACACACTGCAATACACTAGTGTAACACTGCAACACACTGCTGTAACACTAAAACACACTACTTTAACACTGCAACACACTAGTGTAACACACTCGTGTAACACTGCAACACATTGCTGTAACACTGCAACTTTTGGACCCACCCTTAGAATCTTTAGATCGTTCTGGACGGATCTTGCCATCTATGTGGGCTACATGAGTGCATTTGCCTGTCTTCTGGTTGCTCCCATTTCCTTTTATTTGTAATTGACACACTTGGTTAAACACACCAGTATGATGAATTTAAATGTCTGCCTTGTCTCATCTCAACGTGTGGGGCATCACCGTCCACTGATGAACTTTTCCCTTTCTACATTTATGCTGCATCATAAATGCACTGGATCTGATCCCGTTGGCATTGTGTAGTGACAGGAGCGGAACTCTTTAGATGGCTCACAGATACCACAGCGGCTCCTTCCTTTGCCACATGACAAGTGTTTGTTTTTCAACCGTTTCCAGGAAAGTATCAAAAAGCAGCTATGTGTCCCTCTCTACCACTCTGCTTCTTACTTGCGTATTGTAATTCCATATCCTACTTCACAGCTTCACTCAAACTGGTTGGGTTGGGAGGCCTGGCCTCTATTCAGCTGTGGCCACTCCTGCATACCTGTGCCATCAGGTGCACACCTATCCTCTGATTAGCTGGGACTTCACTAAGTGATATCAGGGGTTTGTGAAAAAAGTGGTGAGTTTTAAGCAGTCCTTCTGTATGTGTTTTCATGGTGTCAGAGAGAGCACTTACACTTATTTGCTTGGAAAATGAATCTCATAGTTGTAATGCCAAAAAAAGGCAGGCAGCTTACCAGAAACAAAAAATTTGATTATTATGGACCGATTTTGGAGAAGTGTCAAAATAATTTCCACAAAATAAATTAAAACCTGCATACAATGCACCGAAATTCTTGAAAACTAATTATAAATGAATAGAGCAAATGTTTAATCTTGATATTACTGTAATAAAGTATCAGGATATGTACAAGAAGAATGATCATTGACTGTTTTATGTTTTTAGGGCTCAAGGAAGGCCCACTGTTCATGAGGTCTGCACCAGCAAATCCATACGAAGCCAACAGATGTGGAAAATCTAAAAATGTGAGTCTGTGTTACCTACACTCCCCAAAGACAACAGTTTTAACCAACTCTAGGAAATGTCTGACATGTCCTACAGTCGTGTGGTCATCATCCCAGGCCTCCACATGGATTCCTGAAAGCTCAGGAAAACACTAGCTGGCATTCAGCCCAGCAACAGCTATAGCTTTGCCCTGATTTGACACTCATCAATGAATAAGCTTTTAAAAGCCTTCAAATCGTCACATTTTTAACATGGCAAGCAGTTTAGGCTCTGGGCGGATGGGTGCCTCGAACCAGCTACATCGCACATGATGAAAGACCTGAAGACACGTGAACGCCTCTCAGGACTCATTCAAGGACTCACTCCATTCGCTTATCATCCTGGGGATGGCGGCAGATCCACAGGGCCGTACCCTCACCATTTCCCTCAAACTGTAAGAACAATTGAAGGGTGTCATCTGTAGAACTACTCTGAGGCCGTTGGTGTCTCAGAGATGAAGAGGAGGCCGAGAACAGGGAAGTCTGTGGCACAACGTGGGACCCTTCAGCTCATCTTAAACCAAAGAAAAGTTGAGGGGGATTCACATGGAGATTAGACCAGAAGAAACACGCCAACAGGTTTCAGACCTTCTCCTCCTGCCTCCCCATGCCACATAGATCAATTTCTTGCTTTGTGAGTTTTGAATTTCCAGCCTCAACAGAGGAAAACTTAATCTACTCGTTTCTTTCCCTTATACACTTTGAACAAATGTAGGATACAAAAATAAAATGGGTGACTATGCTAAGCTGTGGCAAGTGTTTGTGGCATTATTAGGCAGTGAGTTATGCCTCCCTACATTAACTGACAGGTACCATCATTCCCACAGGTGACATGGATAAAAAAAACTGCACCATGGCTTTTTAAAGTTGTCCCACTGGGGGAGAAGAACAAACACAGACGAATACAGAGGAAGAAAAAAAGTCAAAGAAAAAACTATTTGTTCCTAATGTGTAAGGGGGGAGGTGTCAACTAGCTCAGCTGGCCTCTGTTAAATGCTAGCAAGCTATCATGGGTTTGTATTCTCATAATGATCATTATTATGACCATGATGACTTTTTTTCATTCACTGCATATTTTGCAGACCTCTAACTTCAAGCGTGCCACTGCTCTGCAGGATATTTATGAAGTGACTAACAAATATCCACACGGTTTAGGTTGTTTTCCATTAGAAATTACGCCTCAGCAGAAAGAGGGCATTCAAAGCGGACAACAGTGACGGGTACGGTGGCAACTACAAACCCACTAACCCTCAGAGTTGGTTTGTGTGTTAGGCATTCACAACATTTAAGGTCACAGAAGCAAAGATATTGAATGTTAGTTGTTGGCCCATTTTGAGTCGGTTCATCAGTTTATCCTAATCGGTGGCCTGCACTCTTCCAGGGACGGCTGCTGAGGCTCCTGAGCTGAGGCCATGTGGGACAGGACCAGTTCAGCACTGTGAGCTTATCGTTGATGAGTTTGTCTCTTAGAAAACCAAGAAGCAAACATTTTGCGGAGAATAATACATCTTAATAAATGTTTTAAAGGGTAATTTAATGGCCTAGTTTATCTCTCTATTGTAGCTGGACTAAAGAAAGGACCCCAAACCACATCTCTGACAGGGCCCTGAGTGGACAAGACCCTGAGCCCATCATGTGAATGGACTTTGGGTTAGTAAGGTGGACTGAAAAGTGCATCAGCCCATTTACCAGTTGGAAAGTAACCTCCTTCCCATTTCATCCAGCCGGGTAGCACAGAGTCCAGCAGGCAGCCAAAGCAGAGTCTGCTGTGGGAGGGAATGACAGGGCACCTACACATGTTCTCATTCCTGCTGTTTCACAGCAGCACGTTGAAAAGATCTTCTATCCAGCTGAGGCGGACTTACTGGCTTTAATGCCCCTGTAGGCTCAGCGTGGCAGCACGGGCATGAAGGAAAATCAGAGGAGGAAACTGTTTAAGGCCAAGGTGCAAGTTACCAATCAAGTGCTCCTCAATAATCTACTTATTAAGATGAGGAAAAAAACAAGTCAACTGAGGAAGAAGGGCATAGAGAGCTGTCTCAGCAACACTCCTGAGCCCATCCACCTGAACGTTCCTAACGCAAAGGCAAAGGCAGCCAGAAGAGCTCATCTTTAACCATGTTTGGATAAAACGTCTGCTGATGAGGATCTTCCAGGGTAAGGACTAGGCTGCTCCCGATCCCATATCTGGATTGGATCGGATCGGCCGCCAATATTCCCTAAAAATGCGTATCGGCCACAGGAGCATTAGCATTAACATCCCCTAACCCACAGGTCTGTGTCCTAACCATTAAGTTGTTATCAGAGTAAATCCCTGTTCAACATGAGTCTGACAACTAAGTAAGTAGATAAATAACTTTAGACTTTAATACATGCTCTGATAGGCCGGGATCAGATCGGATCGGAAGTGCAAAAAGCTGGATCGGGACATCCCTAGTAAGAACAAAGAATTTTTAGATTGAAAGAGGGCTCCCTCACAGCAAGACAAGAGGAGCAAGGCAGGAGAGCAGGTACATGTACAGGGGCCAAAGGATGTGGATCCAAGTGTAATAAAGACAGGTCAGACCTGTTTGGGATCGCTCTGACCAAAGACATCATAGGGATCAATTCTAAACAGGACAGTTGGCATTTTTCTGTTTTATGGTGAAGTCAAGATTGGAGCTGCACAACTCAACAGATGTGAAATCAGAGCCAACTTTATGGACTACCACCAAGGCACACATAAATGGAAAACTGAACTCTCCAGGCACACACATTCAGAGGTTTCACCTGGTGAGGACAAACACATGCAGCATGTGTAAGTCTGACCCCTTCCCACATCCTGCAGAGGCCTACCAGACAAAACGGAGGAAGCTATGCTCTTCATCCATCACCACCTTTCTCACGAAAGAGGCAAAGAGATGTTTCACCACTAGAATGAATCCATCACTCACGCTGTCCGTGGCAGCTGCACCCTGCTGGAGGCCGGCAGCTCCCTCTGCCTTCACCTGTAGAACAAGATGAAGAGAGGATGGAGGCATCCCAACATAGCTTTGAAAGAGGACTGAACCCTGCTCTTCAGCCTCTAGTCTCTGAAGGACAGAGATTGAGTTGAAGAGGCCAAACTGGTGAGCTGTCTAAGACTGACAGGTCAGAGCTGAGTGCCAGCAGCTCGGGCACTCAGCTCTGACCTCCTACTGGACGCAGCTGTACAGCTGCCACATTCCAGGTTTGGAGGAGGTCAGCAGAAAGGGGGTGATGGACAGAGAGTGGGGCACTTTCAAAGCTTCTCATACCAAATGTGTGGTGGGCAGACACTCCTGTGGTCTTTGTGACTAAGTGATGGCTTAGGGTTAGGTTTAGGGCTCACTGTGCCCTCAGTCTGCCTAAGGTTAGGGTTAGGTTTAGGGCTCACTGTGCCCTCAGTCTGC